ACGTCGTGGACGGACGTTTCCTGGAGGAAGTCTCCCCTGACAAGATTGACCTTGCCAGGCGCCAACCCCCAGAGCCTGCAGCGCTTGGCAAACTCCTTCTTCTGCGCCTCGGCGAAATCGCACGGGTTGTCCATCATCTCGCAGCCCCAGCTCTCGCAACCGATTTCAAGCGCCGCTTGCAGCACGACGTTGCCGACACCCGAACCAAGATCGACAAAGACCTGGTCCGAAGTCATGCGCGTCTTCTCCTGGAGGATCTTGGAAATGAACACGTAGTTCAGCTCTCCGTACACATTGTCGGTGCCGTTGGTGTACTGCTTCAGCTTTTCGACGTCGGGGGACACGGTGCGGTCGTAGACCTGGGTCAGGATGAATTCAACCAGCTTGCGAGGCAGGCTGTGCTTGGTGTCGAGGTTTTTCCGGAACGTGCCGTCGTTAGCCAGAGATAGAATCTTAGCGTTGGCGTCTCTGAGCGCCTCTTTGAAACTGCCCAGCTCGTTCATTCCCGATGCGCGCTTCAGGCGACGGATCAGTCCAGCTTTCGGCTCGCGGAAGTCGACCGCTTGTTCTTCCGTCAGGTATTCGTCGGCAACGTGCGAGACAACGTCGATGATGTCCCTAACGGCATCAATCTTGCCATTCTCCACGAGGAGTTCGTATCTGTCGTGAGAAGGAGGTTGTCAGCAATTGTACGAAAATGAAGTGGCATTAGGACGCGCGTGCATACTTTTCTGGCGCATACAAGCTGGGGTACTGGAGCTCGACGCGAATGTCGTCATCGGGTCCGGCCCCCAGCGCGCGCTCGACGGCCTTAGAGGTCGACGCCGAGTTCATAATCTCAGTCGCGTGGATGTAGTTGAGCCGCCTGGGCTTGTCGACATCGAACGCATCGGCACAGGTGAGGGACCTGTTCTTGTCGACATGGTCATCGAGCGGGCGGCGGCGCTTGCGGCTCTCGAGGTTCAGGAAGACGTCGTCGTCCTCGTCCTCGCCGTCCGAGTCCTTGTCAAAGTGCGGCTGCAAGGGGTCGGCGCTGCCGTGTTTGCGTTTGCGCTCGGCGCGGCGGTCATCGGAGGAGGACGGGTAGGGCGACGCGCTCTTGTGGCGGGGCAGCAGCTTGGGCTTCGGGGAGGCGCGGGAGGAGGACGAGGACTGGGAGCGGACCGAGGCGGCGACAGCGGGGGGCAGGAGTCTCGGCTTGGGCTTGGGTGTGACGACTTCGACTCGTTCGCGGTGCACCATGCGTGGCTTTTTGGGTTTTGCGCTGAGGAGGGCCATGGTGAAGAGGGGCGATGTCAAGATGCGCGCCCCAGATTGCGGGTTCCGGATTCCGGGGTTCGGTCGGTCAAGTGGTTCGGGGATAAGGTGGGAAAGACCCTGTGCTCTGTTTCTCTCTGGCCTGTCTGTCGTTCGAATGATGTTTGGAAAAGGGGTGATGCAGCGAGCCGCGTGCTTTCGTTGTATCGCGAAATGTGGTCGACAGGAAAATGTAACGGTGGTGTGTTAGGCTGCGGCGGTCGTGCAGTAGGTCGCCTTCTGGTGTCCGGCATGGTGGGTTGGATTGAACCCTCCTGCCTGTCAGGCAGTCTGGTACAAGGTACGTACTTCTTCCACTTGTCTTGTCGCTGGCTGCCTTCTTTCCGCGCGCCAGGAACGCCCTCGTGGAAGGAAGGAAGCCTGGAAGGATGAGTCAGCAGAAATGCCCCCTCCGCCACCTGGGAAAGGACCACTGGACGCGCCCAAACCTCCTAACAAGGGTCCATTCAGTCAGTGGAGATTTTCCCCCAGGAATTCACCACAA